CCAAAAATATCTCTTGACGTAATCGCCGCATTCTCTCCCCCGCATCTTGCATTCTGTAGAGCTGAAGATCACGATAGCAACATAGGGGATACTGGCTCATTTCATAATATTCAGATGTCTATCGCGTCGCCAACGTATCATTGTACGCAATCGTACTGAACGTCTTAGCGAACTTCTAGACTGGAAGACATTATCGATGGTAAGACTGACATTATACAAGATTTTTTCGGACTTTTTTTCATTAACACAGACGCCAGTGCGATTATGATGGCGAGACTGCCTTAATCTTACCTTAATGATTGTAAACCAATAAGATTAGGATTAGAGATTATGAAAAGTGCGAATTAAGAGTGAACGATACAATTTTTTGCAGTTCTACAGAGATGCAAGATGGATGGCATTGAAGAAGACACATCCGGATCTTGAGGTTGGTTGGGTGTTGGCGAAATTCTGAAAGTTTGACATAATGATGCTTTTGCAAGTGTTTCTGTGCACGAACTCTGCTGAAATGTCGTTTGTAGTTTTAGAAAAAGGCCCGTAAGTGGGTGTGATGATTCCTATGCTCAAGATTCTAAGACCAAAAAATGTACTTACATAGGCTTTCTTAAATCTTCGAATAGTATGACCTTTTGTTATTGTTCCCATCTATTGTGTGCGATATATTGACATATCGTCGCTCAAGTTATATCTTAATCTGTTTTTCCCTAAGCGCTTCTTCTGACGTAAAAGTTCATGGGAAAGGGAGCATCCAATGAGCAAGATGATCTGCTAGAAAATCTTCTTATGAAGAGGATAGACTGGAGACTGTCTCGGGAGTCTGGGGAAATAGCGTCAAGTAATCATTTTTCAAAGATACAGATAACTTTCGGTCTTATTTGAACATTTTTTGAGATCTTTAAATGGCACTACTGGTACAACTAGTTACGAAGATTTTTAAAACAGTTTTCTTTACTCACCTTCGCTAAATGTTGTCTCTTCCCGTGTATTTTCGCTCTTTCCCATGTTATCATATTCATTCATCGTTTAAGGTTTTCACAGGACAATAAGGAAATGTGTTTAGAGCAACAGCACTGTCAAAGGCGATGAGGAAGTTAGACATGAGGGGTTTGAAAGCATAGAGCGAGTTAAGAAAAGGGAACTTGAAGTTAAAGAGAATTTTGCTCGATTTGCTTTTTCTAGTATGTTACGAGATACATTCCCCATAGTTCTAGATGGCTACTATCCTCCTTTTATGCATATAATAGAGATTTTACCTCAAATTCAAGTGCATATCACAGATGCGCTTGTCTGATCAAGTAACGATGATGCCGCGTCCAATATCTGCTCCTGGAACTCCGTCGGTATCTGGTCCAACCACACCACGCGAGTCTGACAGTGAAGAAGACAGCGAACAAGAAGAATACGAAGAGCAACAGTGGAACGAAAAGTAATTGATGATAATATTGTTTTTATACACCTTGTAATATAGTCTGTTTGGTGATATGATATGTATTTTTAGCTGAAACAAGTAGAACAATGTGGAGAAGCTCATACCTGCATGGCTCATTCACGACTAACTCCTTTTATAGCCTTTTAGAAGTTTTTGCATTTGTTTTATTGCTTAGTATGCACTGCATGATACACCATGACCGTTTTTAGTTTAGCATAGATTTGTGGATTAGTTAGGTACGCTAATGATTACTTTTACCAGTTGGATTTCTTTCCATGTCGTGATAGAAATGATTACTGTACAGATCTGATTGTGGTCGATTACAGCGGTAAATTTTAGCCTTCCATTAGTTTGGTGAACTTTTTAGACTCGTTTACTAAGTGTCGTACTGCTTCAAGCTGATCTGTATAATGCGTGCCATCGTCGTTTGGTGCTGTTTAAGGAATTAAGCGTTTCCCAGAATTTTCTCAAAATTTTATGACCATAGATTAGTAAATCGTAAATAAAACTTCATTCTTGAATCTGTTGGCAGTACGAAGAAATTCTCATTCACCTTCAAGTGTGGTTTCCAAGTATTTAAGAATAGGGCAAAATTTAGAAATTCAAAAGTGCAGCGGCAAAAAATGAGGGCTAAAAAAGCACTAGAATAAGTGATCCGTTATTGCAGTAGTGTGACGTGTGTGAAAGTTTTTTTTAACGTTTTTGCTGCCTATATTCCTACACTGGATAGAATGGCCTCATGAGAAACGAAAAGTAAAGATGAGTATAGTATGGGTATTGAGTCAGGGGTGCAGATGGGGTGCAGTAGTAGCTAAAGTTGAGATTGAGTGTGGGATCGAGAACCTTTTTTTAAATTGATTGACTTGTGCTGCCAACAAATGCGGCAGAAACTCGATTTTAATTTTCTTTTGAAAACCATTTTGCACATGCACGGAGAAGTAACAGAACTTGTCAAATTTTCCAAAGTTGATCACATCATTCATCCAAACATATAGGTTTTAAGATTATGATGGGACGCTCGGAATTCTCATTGTTAGGCATAAAATTGTGTCACAAGGGTTCACCAGCAATATTTGCCCGAGAGGCTCAGAGCGATACTGCTGGTAGTCGTGCTACATTGTTAATATAGCGGTCACTTGTGGGAACAACTCCGGAAACTCTGGACATAGCTACTCT